ACATAGTCACGGGTGAGATGGAACTTGCAAGCCCTGGTCACAGGTGTCACCAACCCAGCCAGGCTTGCAGACCAGGCTAGGAGGGCAGGGGAGCGCCACACCTCTTTACATCCCTAAAACACAAGACTCAACACAAAGGCTGCAAGTTACAGGCAGCTCCCTCCTTCAGGGAATGTCTCTTCAGACTGCTTCAAGGATTAATAAGCTGGTCGCCTAAGCAAGCCAGCAGCCTCTGCCCCAACATGCAGGAGTTGCCATCCTACAATGCCTGGGAAAGAAAAGGGAAAGCAGGCCATTGCAAGTTACCTGGCTGGCCTGCCCCAAACACAAGCAATGCAAGAAACTCACCACAGGCTCCCAGCAGCGACAACTGGCAAAACAGGGCTCGGGTCGGGAGCCACTACATGCACCAGCTGGTGCTGACTGATGCCCATGGCAGCGTCAAGGAATGTCTGTAAGAACCCCAACTCTGGATGAGGACGCACAGCTATAGCTAATGGCATCTGGCAAAATTAAGCTATCAAACTAGAAGGGCACTACATCCTGCAATGTGCTTTTCCTGACTACTAGCATGGACAAAGCTATTAACTTGGAAAAGAGACCTAAAATGGTCTCTAGACTGAGAATCTATTGTTCACATAATGTAATGAGCACTCAATGGATTGCTTAGACCTTGAGGCATTACAACGTTTGTTAACTACAGAGCACTGGGGCCTATGTTTTATATGCATTAAGAGCCCAGTTGTGCTCCCTCCTAGAGCTTTGTAGGTTTATGCTGATTTAACAGGATGAGTTCAGGTTCAGATCCTGTTCTCTCATCACCAAAGCCCAGGAACACTTTGCAGTTTTTGGTTTCTTGCTTGGTTTTTGTTTGATTTCCTCCAATGGACATCTCTTCCTCTCCATTTCTTCAGGAGTCCACACACAGCACCAAGGCTTTGTTAAAGCTAGCAAGTTTGTGCCTGTAATCCATATGGTGTGGCTGTAGTAAGAATAGTTACTGCACGGCTGCAAGACAGGAGTTTTAAGTCACAACATAGAACAGAATTAATGGGGGAAGTGGGAGGAAATGCTCACATCCCACCTCAACTACAGCTCTTGCAAAAAAAATTACAACCAATAACCAGACAAAACTGGGATCTTCCCATTGACACTTGTTTCATGACTCTACGTGCCACAGTCTGTCTCCCATTTGGCATGAACTCTTCTCCCCCTTTGACCATTGTCCCCCTCAAACTGAGGGCAGCTCTTCCCAGCTGCCTAAGGAAACCAGTTGATCTATGATGTGGAATGCAATAAATGTTCAGGAGATATTGCTCAGTTTGATCTATTGATCCACATTAAAGGCCTGGCCTTAATCCTTTACCTAGAGAACACTACTATCTGCAGCATCAGAGACTGTAGGTCTCAAGCAGCCTGCATACTGGCTTCTGCTACATTAGAAGAAACCACTGGCAGCAGAAAGTGCAGGAAGAGGTGGGAGGATTCAGCCAGTCCAGTCACAGACCAAGTCGTTTCACCAGTAACTTACCATCACAGTCAACTTCTCCCACTGAGGACGGAAAGATTGTTCCCGATGGTCACCAAGGAGAAGGGGGGGAGGATTTACACAAGACACAAGCTGTTGCGTTCTAGCAGGCCCCACCGTGAGGAAAGACACGGGGACCAGGAAGATCTCCAGAGAGGACTAAGCTCTCCCTCACTGAATGTTTCCTAGTCCTCTGTGCACACACAGGAGTATATCCCAGCACCACCCTTCAGTACACCTCACCCCTCACCTGAAAATCCTCCTGCTCTGGAGATATAACCCTCTTCGGCTATTCAACTGCTTTTGCTGCAAGTATGTACTGGAAAGTCAGAGAAGCTTCACCATGGCTGATGGACAAGACCCTTCACCTTCTGCCTGGCCAGGACCTATGCAATATATCCACCCTATTCACCAAAACAGGGTAACAGCTTTGCTCCTAGATCTGAAGAAATCTAGAGATTTTTTTTTTTTGGCCACCACAGATGGTAGAATATTTGACAATGACACCAGCGCTTACTGGTGTCATTCAAACAGCTGACTTAAAAGGTTAAGACTTCTCATCTTTACCCAAGCCACAAGACTTCTGTTGTACTTAACCATATGTAGAGCTTTGCTGTCTGGCAGAGGAACACCAAGCAAGCGTGGCTGTGCAAGAAAAGATGGCTGTGAGCAGGCTTGATAGGAGAACATCAGGGCCCTGAGCATATTCTCCATCTTCTGGGGGATTGGCTGCCTGCACTCAGGTCCAGCTTAAATACAGGCATCTGGCTTTGAGAAACCTCAACAAAGTTTGCCTGCGAGCTTATCTCAGCTAAAGGTTCTCTCCCTTGAGCCCTGCCTGAGCTAGTGCAGCCATGCCCATGCCTAGCCATGTACCCTGCTGACCTAAATCCTCAGCCTGACCTGCTCCGATCTTCTTGCTAAGGTATTGTGGGACCGTTCCTCTGTTGGCGAGGCCACTGCCCCGCCTGCCTTGCTGTGACTCAGCTTCCAGCTTGCTCTCCCTTTCAGAGCAGCCTGCCTTTGCGGCTCCCTGACAAAGGGCCCACTCAGCTCACCTCGCACATCTCTGCAGTCAGCAGAGACTGCTTCCCATTAACAAGCATGGCAAGAATCAACTCTGGAAACATCTGTAGGGTGTAGAAGCCTCTAATGTCTGAAATGCGAAATGGCAGGGCAACTAAGTTTTCTCACTTGCTATTTTTATCTACATTCTTATCAAGCATCACACACACCCCTACAGTCAGGCCCATTTCTGTGTTCCATGTTGTTGGGGGCTTGGGGGGTTTCTTTACCCCATTTGTAACAGCCATAGTTCATTTTTGTGTCCTTCTTCCATGCTCCTACTTCTTCACCCAGACAGAGCCTGAACCTGTTCACTCCTAAAGTTGTTCTTGTCCAGTCTACAGGCCATAATGCACTTGCAGAAGGGTAAGTAGGCTACTAGGATCTTGCTGGAGACATAAAGACCTTCGGTCTGCAGGGCTTTCAAAGGAACAACAGTTTGACAACTTAGAAGACTCGTAACATTCTTTTCCCCAATATTACTTGTTTAATTACCATTTGCACCAGTACATCTTATGCTTTATATACATATATCTTTAATTTTTGCTTCTTCAGCTTTTCAAATACATAATATATTATCTCCAGAATACTAACTAAGACAATACAGAAGAGGCTCCTAGTTAGTTGTTAATTGGTGCCATGAACTTCCTTGGTTTGGGGAACTGATACATAGTTGAAATGACAGGACCGCACAATGATTTAAGAAAAGAAAAACAAAAAGCCAACCAGCAGAGTCCATGACTTTGCTAGCAGATTATAGCCACCCACAAATTCAGAGGAGGCAGGGAGTTTAAGTACAATGAGACTGCAGGAGTGACTATGAAGGTGGGGCAAGGGCGGCAGGGGGAACACCAAGAGAGCCAGGGGATCAGGATTAAATGACTACTTAAAATACATCCAACAGCAGTCTGGTCCCCACTTCCACAAGTGGAACTGCAGCAGCTTTAGAGCTATTTTCAAGAATTTTGTTTCCCAGAGGGATGGTCTAAGCAAAACTTTGTCTCCAAAATGCCCTCAGTGTAGTAAGAAGACAAAAACAACAAGAGACCTTTGCAAGTACGAGGTGCATATAGCTAACTACTCTCTTTTAAAAGCCTCACCAGGAAATCTTTGCCAAAGGAAAAAATTTACTTGCACAGGTGTGCTAGCAGAGCATATCCCAGTTACAAAAGCGTTGCTGCTGGTTGAGTGTTCAAAACAGGAAGAAGCCTTCCAGTGAAGTACCAAAATCCTAGTGTTCTAGTAACTGGGTACAGCTGTAGAAGAGTCACTGACACCACCGTCCCAGCTCATGTTTTGGCTTATCAGCTAGCACAGAGGGCAGCTAGCATTGTGGGGTTTCCAGCCTGCCCACGGGCCTTGCCCAGAGTAATCAGCAGACGTACAACCCAGATCACATCTATAGCTGCTGAAGATGGAATAGTGTCCAGATCAAAGGGCCTTAGGAAACTCTCCCAAAGAGAGCAGCAGAGAGTAAGGGCCTTTTACCTCTTTCTAACCCCCTAAACCACAATACAGTGGGTTTGGGGCACATTAAAAATAAAATAAAAAAAAAAAATCCAAGTTACAATAACCAGCTCACATCCCTAGAAAGTTAGCCTCAGAAGAAAAGCCACAAGGAACACAGGTGGGAGAATTTCACTGCCACAGTTCAAGGTTTGGCCTACTATACATTTCCTGCCCAAATGATAAGTGCAGGCTGAAAAGGGGAAAGAGTCTGTCCCTTCAGCAGAGAATAATCCACTGTCCCACCATAGTTCTTACTGTGGCATGGATATGCAATACTTGTAACACAGTGCCAAGTCACAACACAAGGCTCAGGATTGTGACGCAGGAACATGAAATGCTGAGTGGTGGGATTACCTGGTTGTCATCTAGTGCAAATAACTACCAAATTATAAAAACAGGCTTTTTTTTTTTTTAAAGCCATTTCCAGTTAAAATAGCTTAATGACAATGAGGCCGTTGCATGGGGTGGGAGGGAGAAAAGACTCAAAATGAGAGAAGTTCCTTCAGTGAACCTGCAAGCCAAACAAGGAGCCTCAAGATGGGGTGCCCACCTGGAGCTACAGCACAATGGCAGCAGGTCTGCTCAAGGACATGCATGACTCCTCCCGCAAGAGCACAGGAACATCCAGCACTATCAAGAATTGCACCAAAGAGAGGAAGAGTAGTGTGTGCATGGGGAGGTGCACTCCTCACCACAGATGTAATTAATTAAAAGAGGGTTTTGTGTTGAGACAAGACCTATCTCCTTACAGCTTCCATTTACAAGCTGCAGCCAAATGCAGCTGTCCTCAGCACTGCAGGCCAAGCTGCAGAGACTTGAGTCACTACTGAAAGCAGCTGCAAAAAGCAACAGTCTAACCAGAGAAAATTTAAAGGACAAGGAACCCAGAGGCACCTACCCAGCCTCCTCCTGTACCCACCTTCTTCAGAATTCTTGCTTTACCTGTATGGAAAGAGAGGGAAAAAGAGCTAGGATGTACCATGTAACAGCCAAGTGGGTGGAAGAAATGAGGCTACCTCTCTCCTCCTTGCCCATCTTGTGAGGAATCAGTATGTTCTCTTTAGGTTCAGTGGTTTCACTGTGGGACCAAAACCAGTAAGTTTTGACTGAAGTGAAGATCCAGTTTAAAAGGGAAGGATTGTCCTGATTTGTTTTTGATTGAAGACTAGAGAGGTTTGTGCCCCCTCTGATCCCATTTGGTGCCTCTAGAGCCTCTTGGTCATCAGTTTGTCACATTCCACTGCTTTGACCATTCAGAACTGGACCCAGTTGGACTGCTGAGGAGCCTGATTGGGAACAGCACTGAAATGAAGAGAGGAGAATCAAAGAAGCAGATCTAATATGACTTCTTAACTTATGGCTCTTCCAGTGCCCATCAGGACACTACCCTTATTGTGCGCAGTTTCATTCACCACAGTTTACCTGGATGCAGTGCTGAAGTCTCCCCAGAGGTCTGTGGTAGCTGATGCTGGTGCCTTGGCTGCAGATACAGGAGCATCTAAGTCTAATAGAATATCTAAGTTGGAAGGAGGAAAAAAAAAAAAAAAAAAAAAAAAAAAAAAAATCAAGCTAATCAACAAGAAAACCCCACAGGCATTTAAACTGTCACCTTACACAAACTGCTAGATGCAGGGGCAGAGAATCTTTGAAGCGACTCCTGCTCTCCTTCCAGAAGGAGGAAGTTAGACTTTTTTAAGGATTTTTTTTTTTTTTTTTTTTTTTTTTTTTTTTTTTTTTGGTAATAGCAGCTCCTTTTGCTGAATGTGCATGGAGACTCCAGCTCATGCTGCAGGGGTACATCACCTTCAAGAACTATTCAGTCTCCACCTAGCATACCAACTGGCAGATTTGTGACATATTACCTCTCCCAGTAGACATAAGGCTCAGACTCAGCCCAAGCTCAGCAATCATAACAGCTGCCAAACAGCCATCACCTTAACAGTACAAACCATGCACTGGAGCCCAGCCCTATTCAGAAGCTTGTGGTTTCTTCTCACTCCGATCTGTGTACAGCACTGCTAAAATCTCTGCCTTCACAAGAGTATCATCAGCTCTGCAGACACCTCTGTATGGTCAGACTTTTAGTACAGAATCCAGTAGACTGCAGCAACCTCTTTGTTACAGAATCACAGAATGGTATGCGTTGGAAGGGACCTTTAAAGATCAACTAGTCCACCCCCCTCCCATGGGCAGGGACACCTTCGACTAGACCTTGTTGCTCAAAGCCCCATCCAACCTGGCCTTGAACACTTCTAGTGATGGGGCATCCACAACTTCTCTGGGCAACCTGTTCCAGTGTCTTACCACCCTCATCATAAATAATTTCCTCCTTATATCTAATCTAGATCTAGCTTCTTTCAGTTAAAAACCTGTGCCCCTTGTCCTGTCACTACAGGTGCTGGTAAAACATCTCTCTCCATCTTTCTTATAAGCCCCCTCTAAGCATTGAAAAGCCACAATAAGGTCTCCAAAACAACCAGAAGAAAGAAGGAGAAGCTTTGCTTGGTTAGTTTGGCTAGCTGGAATTTCCTCAAGGCAGACCAGAATGAGACACTCGCAGGACATCCAGGGAGCTAGTATGGAGAGTACACAGGGCAGAGTTGGAGGCGGGTCTCACCACCCTCATCGTAAAGACTTTATTCCTTATATCCAATGTAAATCTACCCTCTTTCAGTTTAAACGTTTGCCCCTTGTCCTTCACTAAAGGCCCTGGTAAAAAGTCTCTCTCCATCTTTCTTACAAGCTCCCTTTATATGTCAAAAGGCTGCAATAAGGTCTCCCCAGAGCCTTCCCTTATCCAGGCTGAACAACCCCAAGTCTCTCAGCCTTTGTTTACAGAAGAGATGTTCCATCCCTCTGATCATTTTCGTGGCCCTCCTCTGGACCCACTCCAACAGGTCCATGTCCTTCCTGTACTGGGGACCCTGGAGCTGGACACAGTACTCCAGGTGGGGCCTCAAGAGTGGAGTAGAGGGAGAGAATCACCTCCCTCAACCTGCTGGCCATGCTTCTTTTGGTGCAGCCCAGAAAGTTACTGGCTGCAAGTGCACATTGCTGGCCCATATCCAATTTTTCATCCACCAGTATCCCCAAGTCCTTGTCAGGGCTGCTCTCAATCCATGCATCCTCTAATGTGTATTGATACTGGTGATTACCCCACTGCAGGTGCAGGACCTTCAACTTGGCCTTGTTGAACCTCATGTGTATAAATATATATATGTGTGTGTATATGTGAAGTTCAACATATATATTTTATTATTATTTTTATATACAAATATATTTATATAAAATTATATACGTATTTTTAAAATAAACTGCTATACCCACAATACCACTATACTTTACACCTCTTTCTGCGGCTCATACTAAAGCTTCCTCTCTCCCTATTCAAAGCCACTCAAGAAGTGCTTTTCCTGCATCTTTCAACAACAACCACAACTGTATCTATATTATTCTGAAGAAAGCAAGTGACTGTGCAGTACTTTTCTGGACACCCTACACAGCTCTGCCAGTGTCCCTAAAGCACAAACAAATTCAGAAAAATGCAACTATTTTAATTTCATACCCAAACTCCCACAGATCATTTTGACCAAGTCACTTGTAGCTCCTGTCCTTGCAATAGGAGAAACCAAAACTATCCTTCTTGCAAGGAGAACAAGCAGGTATTATTAAACAAGCATGGAGATCCTCAGGTCAAAGAGAGCAAAGCCCTCATGTCTCACAGGGCACTGGTGGCACTAGATCGAGCACTGGTTCCCTGAAGCAGGCCTCAGTCCTCTCTATGCACCTACTAGTGTCTGACAGACCATTTGCTCTATGCTAATGTTTACCTGCACTGCTCACATTACTGGATTTCAGCACGGGTGGTGGCGTGACATGGTTGGCAATGGCTGCAGAGGAAGGGGGAGGTATAGGAGGGACTGCAATTTTGCCTCCTGGTGGGGGTGGCAGCAGGCTTAGGCCCCCTGATCCAGACACACGGGGCTTGGCTGCTCCTCCTTTCTTTGTCGTCATGTTCTGTATAAAAAGAAAGGACAAGTGAGGAAGAGTCTCCATTGGCATATCCAGAGAAAGAAGGAGGGTAAACTGGGCTCTTACCCCAATGTTCAGTTTGATGGTCTGCCCTTCCTTAAACCCTAAGTCTAATTTGGGACGTGTGTCAGCTTCCTGGGACTCCTTGGAGATCTCAGTCTCCTGCTTCACCCACCTAAAAAGAAGAGAGGAAGACATTAGACCTTGTGACAAAGGGGAACAGGGTTTCAGAAAAATGCATGGTTCCTCTCCCCATCCCGCCAAAAAACTACCTTGCCTTGTCAAACCAGCTACTTCCCTACTCCCAGTGTAGTACAGCAAAAAGGTGGGACCACTGCAAACCCAAGAGACTGCCTAACGCTGCACCTGTAGCATCACAGGACTTAAGCTTAAGACTTGCAGATCTGACCCTGCAGGACTCTCAGCTTGCATGACAGTTGGCAGCAGACACTCAAGTGTCCCTGATGGAGCCAGAGTAGGGCTTCGTGACCATCCCAAGGAAGGCTGCACTAAACGAACATGCACCACCACCCGCCGTGTTCTACAGGCCAGAGGAAAAACAGCATTCTAGAAAAGCACAACTCACTTGAAGTGATCCTGCAAAGAGACGTTGAAGTCAAAGGCATCACCACGATCCGTGAAGCCAATGCCTATAAAAGCACTTCGTCCTAGCAAGGAGACAGGAGGGGTCATTGGACGTGCCCTGCAAATGGGCTCTTGTGTTCATTCACTCCAAAATCTTTCTGCTTCTCCTAAACCACTCTGTGCTACCTCCCTCTGACAGACCTGCAGCTGGGCACCAGCAGCTCACAGCAGTTCATTGTTCCTAGCCTTCAGGATGCACCTTTCTTCCCACACAGCACTCTCAGAAACCAAATGTTCCTTCCCAGCCCCTGGACTCTGTGCAATGTAGAGAATCCTCCTCTGTTAACCTTGCCTTCCTACCCCTCCAGGCACACTACCCAGCCTTTTCAGCGCTCCCAACACCATTCCAATGCCCCTTGCATATACCCAGCTCCATCAGGCTAAGTCTCCTCCAGCTCTAGCACTTGGCACATACATGATCCCTCAACTCACCAGTCCCATCCTGAATTCGAATGACAAAATAGCGGCTGGAATCTGTCACAGTCTCTACTGCAATGCCAGGGTATTGATCTATAGGAGCCTGGGCAAAGAGTTCTCCTGCAGACAAAGAACTGGGTGTTAAGGAGAGCAGCCTCTTGCTAAAGCATGGCCAGGGCTTCCATGCACAGCTTTGACCGGGCTTAGAAACACAGGCTCATGAGCAGCAATCACAGTCACAGCCTTGCCAAACCACAGCCTTTCCCTTACCTGAAACCTTATCCTCCAGTTTTATGTATGCAGTTTTGCCTTTGGAGGTGACACGGAGCCGCCCTGTCCAGTCCGGATGGTCCAGTTTCCAGTCAGATGCCCTGAAAAGAAAAGCAACTGTTCACTGACCATACATCAACCCCTCCACTTCTGCCCAACCATCTCAGCAAATGCCTCTGCTCCCAAACCTTCAACGCCTGCAGCTGCCTTATTCCACTTCTCCCCCCAAGCGATATACAAGGTCTCAGCTCCTCTCCGTTGCTGCCAGTCAACACACACAGCTCTGACTGGCCTCTTTCCTCTAGGTAGAGGGAAATAGATACAGTCCAGAGAACATCACTCTGGCTTTACCTTTATAAGCTTACAGATGAGGGGAGACTGAAACCCAGGGACTGACTTGGAACAGTAAACCCAGAAGTGACTAATAAGTGACTTGTGAGCATCAGGAAGACCCCCAAAATTAATTAATAACATGCTGAAAAGCCACTCCATTATTCTACCCCATTGTAAAATAATATCAAGTACTTCCAAACCTAGAGGCAGCTAGCTTACACTAGGTAAAACATCATACACACAGCCATCTTGACTAGCCCAT